TATTAGTTCTAATTTTAACTCGTTATTTATTTTATTATATTATTATAGCGTTTTATATTTAAGCCCGATTTAGTTTTATATATTCGCGTTCTCCCTTATTTTTTATCTTATTCGTTTCTTAGGGTTTATTATATTTCTTATTTTATTAAATAAAAAGTCCTTTTTTTATATATCTTTACCTTTATATTTTAATTATTTAATTACTTTTTTTAAATTAGAGTTTTATTATTTATATTCGTTTTAATTATTATACCGTTCTTTTTAATTAATTATTTAAAGCTTTTTTAATTAAATCGGGTCTTTTCTCGCTTATTTTCTTATTTAATAAAAAAGGGATTTTTAAAAAAGAAAATTATTAAAAACGTATAGGGTATAAAAGACTTTCGTAGTACGGTATTTTAAAAAAACTACTAATACTTATAAAAATAATATAAAATACCTCTTTTAATTAAGTTAATACGGCCTTAATTAATAAAATTATAACTAAAAAAAAAGGATAGTATTAGCTAGATTAAAAAGGTAAACTTCTTAATCGTTTTATATTATTATATTTAAAAATAAATTATTAAAAAAGCTCTAGTTCGATTTTAAAAGGTATATATATAATTAAAATAAAAATCTATGCTATTAAACTTATTATTTCTAATCAGGGCCCTTCTCTTTATATTTTATTCTAATTAGCCCTTTTATAAATACCTATACTTAATTAGCTTTAAAAAAGAACTACTAGGACTAATCGCCCCACCCTATTCTAATATAAATAATTTTATAATAATAACTTCTCGTAATTAATATAAAAAAGCATAGGGTATTATAAAAAAGATATTTATACTAGCGTTTATTACTTTTATATTAGACTTAATCTTTTTATACCCTCTAAATCCTACTTATTTTAAATATTAAGGCCTCGCTAAGTTAATATATAATATATTACTTAATAATATCCTTATTATATAAAGATATAAAGAGTATATTTATATATTATATATTTAGCCCTTTTTATTAAGCTAGGAGCGCTTATAATTACTACTTTATTATCTTCGTAATTACTCTTTAATAATAAATACTCGTTAGTTAGTTATTACCCCGGGCTTATTTTAGAGCTTTTTAATCCCGTATTATATCTACTCTAAATTTATAAATATTATATAAAGCTAGTTTTTAAGTAACGTTATTAATAATAATATTATTAATTTTATTATAATAGTTTATATAAAATTAGCTAAGTTAAATAGTATCTTAATTAGTACTAATATTAATAAAACTAATTAAAAGAATATAATAAGTATCGTTATTAAGGCTCGTAAAATATACTAATAACTTTACTAAATTACTAACTAAGCTATTATTAATAACCCCCGAGCATAAAGTACTACTAATAATAATTACTAGGGCTTAATAATACTACTATAATAGCCCTTTTATTAATTATAAGTTAGGTTAAAATCGGAATATATATAGCTATTTACTAAGCCCGTTTTACATAATATTTCTTAGTACGTAAGATAATAATTAACCTAGCTATTACCTATCCTTATAATAAAAAATAAGCCTAAACTTAAATAACTTATATTACTTAATAAAAAAGCTAAAGGGTATATATTAAATATAGTGTGGCTAAATATCTATATAAGTATTTATTACGAGGCTATTACTAAGGAGTTTAGAATACTAATAAATATAAATATATTATTAAATAAGAATAAGTATAAGTAAATAAGGGGTATAATAATATTTTATTATTTTAATATTTATTATTATATAATATATCTATTATTAATAGCTATATAAGTAGTTTAAAATAATAATAACCTAGATAAACTATACTAATATTAAAAAAATCTTATTATTAAAAGGTAATATATAAATAATATAGCGCTTCCTTTTTTATAATACTTTTTATTACGATAATAATAAGCTTACTTATTAAATATACTAACTTTATAATAAGGCTTTAATATTATCTAATAAAATACTACTTCGTATTAATAAAAAAATATATAATTATAAGAGGATATTAAAAAAAAAGAGCTAATAAGTATTATTAAAAGAAATAGAGAGTACTATAATACTATTATTATTAGTTAAGTTAATAAAGCATAGTACTTAATTAATAAGGGTAAGCTATTACTTACTAAGGACGCGAATATATTATAAACCTTTAAGTAAGCCCTGCGCTTAGTATATATATAGTATTATAACTATAATAAAATTTAGAACTTCGGATATAAGGTTATTTAGTAATCGAACCGCTTTAGCTTTATAAATAAGTAAGTACTAGCTAGTATTTACTTATTTAATTATTTACTTAATTAAGTCTTATACTTAGTAATTCGAGGTATTTTAAGGGCCCCGGCGAGGCCTATAAAATAAGGTTATTAATATTTAAAGCTTAGAGAGGGGTTACTAATATTTACTAAGGGGCCTAAAATAACCTTTTTATTTCTTAATTAATAGATTTAAATAAATTTATTAATTAAATATTAAATATTATTTCGTAATATTGCCCTTAACTAAAAAAAAAAGCTTTAAGTACTACGTATTTACGTATTATTAAAATATACGAAGGATAAAATCTAGAAACATTACTATTATAATATAGGTTATAATTTTAAGTTATTTTTATTATAATATTAAGGTTTTTAAAGTACTCTTAATATACCCCCGGGTTTTTTATAAATTCATAGGATATTTACTATTATTATAGTATTATTACCCTATCCCTTATTAACTATATAAGTAGTATTTGCAATAGCTTTATATTTATAAGAATTAATTATTAATATTCTTTTACTTTAGTAATTTTTATTAGTATATTTTCGCTCATAGTAACTACGTTAAGTATATAAATAGTAACTAGTTTATAATAAGCCGTATTAATTATATTTTTATTTATAAGATATACAATTTGCGCTATATTTTTATTATCGTTATGCCTATAGAAATTTTAAATAAAAAGGATTATATACTTGACTTATATAAAGTGCGCTATTTTAAGGATTAACTTATTATTATTAGTTTTAATATTATTTAACTTAAAAAGCTATACTTCGTTAAAATCCGTAATTATAGTATCTAAGTTAAGTAGTAAGTTAAGTAGCTATAATATACTTAATATTATATAAGTATATCCCTACTATTAGCCCGACTATATACTAATATATTTATATTATAAGTATCGGCTCGCTTACTTTATATATCCGAGTATTAAGTAAGTAAGACTATTTATTTTAAGCTTATAATCGTAAGAGGTAAATAGCTTACCTACCTAATATTAAAGAACTTTATTAGTAGTAATAGTAGTAGCGGGGCCTTAATACTATGATTTTTAAATAATAAAATAAGTTAATTATTACGAGCGACTTTATTTTTTTCGTATTAATAAATCCATATATAAACTATATATTTATATTATCTCCCCCGCTAGACTATTTCTTTTAAATTTAATAAGGATAGTAATAATAATAATATCTAGTAAACTTAGAAGTTTAATTTTAAGGATTTTATTTAAAAGTATAAGTAGTTATAATATCCGCATATTTATAATAATATCGTAATATATATAAGTAATAATATATTAATATATTTATTTAAATATATTAATATCCGTATACCCCGAGCCCTAGGATTACCCCCTAGTACGGTCCCTTAATACCTTATTTATAACTCTTAAAACTCTTAGCTACTTTTAAATAATTATTATTATATACGTAATTATTATATATATTATTATTATTATTAAATAAGTAATAGTATTTTATTTAGTAGTAGTAGTATAGGGTTGTACGACCGTGTTAATATTTATAATTAATATATTCCCTTATACGCCCCCGGTAAGGTAATTTTAGCTATTAAGACGGGGAATGAGTGAGACGATAAAAGGTTTTGGGACCCATGCACCCATAAATTTGGTAACACAGATACAGATCAGATGCTTGGGGCAAATGCTCAAATGGATTGACTACTTTTGCCTAGACACGTGCTCAGTTTCTTTTCACTTCCTCTTTTCTCGACTGGCTTAGAAAGCTTTTCAAAATCAACATGGAGGTAGTATGCAGCCTGTGTAAGTCTTCCTCAAAAAAGGTGGCAAAATCTTTCTTGGTATAGCTGAAGTAGCTGCTACATCTCCTCCTCTGATATGCATGCAACCATGACTGCAGTTTCTTTTGTGCAAATCTCGTTGGAGGCAGAAAGCTTACTGCATACCCATCTACGTAGTACTCACCCATTTAAAAGCCAATCACCAAGCATATCCCATCCTGTGATAATGCACATATCGGCACAATATTGACTGATACTGGAGTGCCAATAGTGGATGGCCACGACATTCGCGGGGTATTGAGAGGCGCACTTGGCGTTGCGAATTGATCAAGACCAGCAATGCCCACGTCGTCCTGGGCGAAGTCCGATGCACTGGGCCACGGAGCTCGCCCGCGGAATTCCGTGACAGGTATTACAGCTCATGAGCGATGAGTGCGCTCCGACTTCAGATTTAGTCCTCGAAGGTAGCAATCTCTTCTGAGCAGTGCTTCTTTTGCTCAAGAACATTTGTTTCAACCTTCAATCAGAAATTCCGATCCCCAGTGCCAGTGAACGAGTGGTTACAATGGTCAGTCTAGTTTCCTGATGGCTACCTGCAACCTCATTCATCAACCGGCAAGAGAGTCATTTCTCACTCAACCATTGGCCTTACTGAGGTGCTAAATCATGACTTTCTCTTTCAGGCTCATTTCCCCAATCATGTTGAATCAGCGCGCGATGTGATCCAGCAATCACTTTACCTAGCTTTGCAAAGGGATCTCCAAGATTACAGTAGATGGTTCATTCCTCGCGGTCAATTATTCACTGTGTTGAGCCAAGAGAAGGTCAAGGACTTCCTGAAAATATCCCTTGATCCTGAGGTTTATACCGAGTCTCTTGTTGACAACATCGCCTCCTTCATAAGTCCGAAAAAGGGGACCTGCGAGTGCGGAGAATCAGATTGTACTGGTCTGAGAATCATGTTTTCGACTTTCCTGTCCATGGCTCGTGAAGATCTGATCATCAGTTGCTGGCGAGCCTCGCCTTCTCTCTGCGATAGCTTGTGGCCGATCAATGCGGCAGACGCGCGTACAGCGCATCATCCAGCGATACAAGACATTCTTCAAACTCTTCATCTGGAAGAGAAGAATCTTGTATTTCAACAACAGTGGCCGATGAGATCACCGTACTTTACAAAGCTTTTTCCATCAGCACACGAATATCACCAACGACTTCCAAACGATGTAACCCTACCTTGGATAGAACTCGAGGTTCGGGAAAAATGGAATACACGCCAACGAACCTTCGTACGGAGGATCAAGATTCACCAAGATCACCATGCGCTAGTAAGCACTTCTTGACAACCGCGTACGCGTGGTTCATCATTTCCAAATTCTTAAACAAGCTAGGGTATATCAGAAGACGATTTTGCACTGAAAGTCTTCGAAAAGGGGAAAAATTTGAGATTGGCTGCAGAAAGATTCAGAAGTGAGATCGCATCAAATCAAAAAGTGACACACCCAAACGTCGCTCCGTTTTTGACGGCATTCGAACATAGAGACTCCTTCTATATCGTGTTGCCATGGGCACAAGGAGGGAATCTGCGACACTTCTGGGACGATCATCTCCCCAATGGCAATCAAGAGGGCCCTTCTGCGCCGTGGTTCTCGATGAATTGGATGGCAGACCAATGCTACAACCTAGCTGATGCCATTGCCACCATACACGGCCATCGCTCTGAGTTGGGAGGGTTTGCTTTGCAACCTCAGTTGCACCAAGATATCAAACCCAAGAACATTATCTGCTTCGCTAGCTCGGTTGGTGGCAAGGCATCCTGGGTACTCAAGATAATCGATTTCGGATTATCGGCGCCGGTTGTGAATGGCTGTGTGCCACGAAAGAACATCGTCGAAATCAAAACCTATCGACCACCCGAAGAAGCATACCCACAGTCAGTCATAGACACCTCTTGGGACGTATGGTGCCTGGGATGTCTGTATCTTGAGTTCGCTATCTGGGCTCTCAATGGATCAGCTGAAATAGTTAACTTCCAGGCCGAGCGCTTGAAGGAACTACATGACACAGACGATGAACATGAATTCCCTCCCGTCTTAGAGGATACGTTTTTCTCCATGCGCAGAGTTGAATTCGTTCCGCAAAACATGCGGGCCATCTCTGTCGTCGAATCTCCAAAGATGGTTCCAGTACTTAAAGAATCAGTCACATCAGTAAGCACGGCTCTAAAGTCCAGTCCGACAGTCCAGTCCGACGCTTCCATTTCAATGTCAAGAAAACAAGCTAATCATTGCTCACAGCGATTCCGTGCTCTTCTCAATAACTCTATGTGCACGAAATTTCTCACTGGGCTGCTTGAGTACACGGAATCTAGAATGATCATTACGAATAGCGGTAGTCGAGCTACGTCAGCCGAAACCAGGGAATGCTTGGCAGAATACACGTCCGCCAAAAATGGATAATCATGGCCAAGGATCGTACTCATGTTTTCAGGTCATAACTAGGTGTCGATTATCCACAATGGACTTTTCTTTCACGTAATAATATGGCCCTCAACCTGTAGGTGCCAGCGCGTGCTATGTTTGCGAACAGGTTCCTGGCATGGATTTAGCTAGACATGCAAAACAGCTATGAGTTCACTTAAAAACTCACTATCTCTGTATTCAGTCAGACTAATCTGAGATAACCAGGGCTGTCTCAGCTTCTTCAAATGCGGTCAATATATCTTCAATTTCAGACTAAGAGCCTATCATGAGCACTGGAATATCTGATAATACATGCACAATGCTGGGGTCTATGACACACCTCAAGCAGCCGCCGGGGAAGCTGCATTTCAATTCCATTTTTTTTCGTAGCCTGCCAACGCACTATTTATCAGTAAAGCTTTTCTCCCTGAGGAGCAGATTGGCTGATGGACAGCGCACCCTAATTCTCATATCTTTCTCAGGGATTTGGAACTTGATGAGCATTTTTCTCAATACTGCCACACTTCCATATCGATGCGTAATCACGTCTGTGGGCCAGAAATCTTTGGTTTCGGTCCTGCTTCGTGTGGAAAGTGAGTTTTCCTGTATGGCGACTTCGTTCGCTCCCAGTTGGATATCTCGCTTTGGATGAAGGTCCTTGCTAAACGTCTTCTCTGGGTCCGCGACTGGCATTCCGACGTCGTTGCTGGCGTCATCGGATGACGCGCCATCCTTTTCTTCTCTGGAGACACTTCCTTCAATGACAGCCTCATCTTCTGCGTCTTCGTCATCAACTCCAACTCTGAGTGCCTGGTAGCATAGAGATTTAAGATGGAGTGCAATGTGCTTGGATAATTTTCTTTGGCTGGGAAAAGTCTTTGTAACTTCGACTCCCTTCAATCGAGATTTCGGAACCATTGCCGACTCTGGACTGTTGTCCACAAATTGAACTTGACGGTTCCGATGCTTCGGTGTTGAGCTTCCTGGGGTAATAGTGGTGCGTAGAGTGTTACTCGACTCAGAAGGTCCAGCAGATGGGCCTCGCTGCGGTTCCTGTTTCAATATGACCTCCTTGCACATAAAGCAGGCTGATCTTTGCTCATTTCCTGAGGCTGGCGAGCGATGAGCCCGATGCATCCAGTCAAGACCATGTTCGGTTTCCATGTGTGTTCGCCACGCAGCCAACTTCGCAAATGTTTGAGAGGGATCTGTACACTTTTCCGAGATGCAAATAAATGGCTGCACATCTTCATCCACATGACACCTAAAGACTCGTAGAGCTTGATTAATTCTACCAACTTCCATGTTATGTTGTGACTGGGCTGAGTAGAGAAAATGTGTTGGAAAGAGTTGTACTTGCCTCCACCATCGAATTTTCGTCACCTGCTCCGTTGAGAATTGCTTGCGACAGAACTGACATTTCCTTGTGATATCTTCAGAGGTTTCAGCCTTTGGTTGCCGAGGATACTGGATCTCTGTTTCTGTTGCTGTTGCCGCCGTGCTGATTGAGCTGGCCCGCTCAGATTGCATTGCCTCATAGCCCTCATTGAAGATCGACTGATGATATGTCGATGCCTTCTCATCATCATGCCAGGCGCTTGTATGATCTTCTCCAGCATGTGTATTATATTGCCTTTCGCGTCTGTCACACTCATAGTTGAGTCGTTGTCTTCGATAGATCATGGATCTTATAAGCTGTGTCTTCAACAAGTCAGGAATGTCCGGGAACTTGCCGGTGACCATGCCTGTGATGACTGTTTTAGTTTCAGAGTCCAGTGGATTCTTTCGGATGAACTCTTCCACTCTAGCTGGCCTGCTTGATTTAGAAGCTTTCGAGATCAACGCGGCTACACGGTTGAGTCTTTCAAGAGCGCCTAATATCCCCTTGAAGGCGCTGTTCAGATACCTCATGTCCAAATCTCGGCCAGGTTCCTCGGCATCATGTATTTGAACAGTGGTTCCTTGAAAACTGTCCCCTAACTTAGTCTCGGGTTTCCCCTCTTGCACAATGATAGTGTTGCTCCGCGCTATGTCAGAATAAGCGTCCGGATAGGGCAAGATTCAGCGAACTTGTGGTGAAATACCGGTTTCGAGATTGCGCTGTATGAGCCTGAGCATGTTCAGAATGATCAATTGCGGCGGCTTGTGATCGCTCAATCGAGCATCGAGGCAGAGTTGCGGCTCCGCGAAGACTCCCGCATTGTTTTCCCAGGCCTGAAACCTTTGTTGAAGCTCTCTCAAAGCGGTTTTACCTCGGTGGGTAGTTCGTATCATGTCGCGGAGTTGATCGGCGCAGCGACGAGTCGCAATTTGTATTGCAGGACCTTCCTCGATGAAGATAGATGCGTCCATGGCGGAGAGCTGAAGGTCACAATGAGCGCCGTTTGCACGGTTTTATTCTGTGGACATGAAGCTTTGGTTCAAAAGACGAGAGTAGCACCTTGAATGGAACTATGCTTACTTTGAGATTTGTCAGTTATAATCAGATCCGGGCCCTACGCCTGGAGTCGAATCGACGTGGCCCAACATGATTCCTTCACCCTGGGCGTGCCACAATATGGAGAGTGTCATCGGATGTACCTGTTATTATCACCAGGCATGCGGCGCGGTCAAATTCGTGGTGGGTGCTTGCATGTCGAAGTGACTTCGGAAGGACATTAGGACACTTGACTGGACGTTGACGAAACTGGGCAAGCAGGCGAAGTGGGGCGACGACCTTCATGAGCTGGCCACATTTGCGGCCCCACCCCTTCGATTCGAGACTGAAAACTACGGAGGTGCGGATAATTACCTACCAAATTTGCTGACGGGGAACAGCAATGACCCGCCACACTTCTCCCTCATCTTCGCGACCCGCTCGGCCTCGACTGTTTATTCATCCCCGAAATTGAAGTTAACAGTACCTCAGATCTAGGAGACACACCTAGAGCAATTCTTGTCCGTCTTCAACTTGCCTGCCACCTACCCTATGAGCTGGCTGGAAAAATCAGTTTCTGGCCTACTAGGGTCTATCAAAGGGCATGTCGAGAAGATAGTTGCAGATGTGCCCGAGACTGATCAGTCTCCAGAACATCTAAAGTCCCGGAACGATGCTGAGCTACTAATGGCCGATTTTGACATGTTACAGCTGTGGGAATATCTTCCGGAAGTATTAGAAAACCCACACAGTCTCGATTCATCCGATAATATCAGTGACTTAAAGGAATGGGAGATCTTAGCAGCAGAATTGGATCAACAAGGTCGTTGGAATGAGATTGACTTCGGCAAGTGTTCAGCAATTTGCCACGCAACAATGGGAGGCGACATTTCTTTCGAGACGAAAACACCATTCGAGCGCAGGATATTTCCGACTGGGCCTTCAACTTATCTGTTTGACGTTCTCGTGCGTCAGTCAAGCTGTTGCAGAAAACACATTGCGCGGCTTCATTTGAACGGCTTCTACGTTGAGAACGCAGACGCAGCCAGTCGATTCTCCCTGTTCGTCTCCTGCAACTCAGGGCTGGACATGGAATGGCATGAAGCATCTTACGACCTACTCATGTATGTGACCACATGTCGGCCTAGAAATTGTGCTGATGCCTTTGTTCTCCAAGACAAGACACTGGTGTAGAAGCTTCTCCATACCCGGATGACTTCTGCACACTTCCAAGTCTCTGTGATCAGTACGGATATGTCAATATCCGACAAGCTCCCAACAGGAAGCCTATTGTTCTGGCGAAAGAGAAGAAATCGAAACGGAGGCTTGACACACCGACACAATGTCTCGGTAAACTTCTTGACCAAGGTTGGATCGGCAAAAATGGTCACTGCACCATAGACGGAGGCCTACTTCCCGTGGAAAGGGCAGCATTATCTCTGAATCTCGCCCGAGCTTTGGTTCATCTTTCTCCGGACGCATGGGTCCGAAATGAGTGGAGCCTCGACAACATCTTCCTATCTTGGAGCCCCGGAACGCCAGATGGCTCAAGTCCCCCGACTATAGATGCTGAGAGACCATATCTGTCCATCCGACTAGATAACGAAAAGGAGATGCCCTCCTCAGATAAAGAATCCAAGGCAAGCACCTTTGAAACGATTTTGTTGTCATTCGCTCAAGTTCTCATGGAAATTTCAACTGGAAAGAGATTGCTGGAAGATCCCCAGCCAGGGTCTAACAAACGCGGCCGGCTGACAAACTGGTTCAAGAGCCGTGATTTTCAGTGGAGCCTTCTTGGATACGTGAAAGATGCCATCAATTCGTGCTTGGAAGCGGCTTACGTTGAAGGAAAGGTCGGGATGTCAATCAATGAATGGATCTACGACAACATTATCTCGCAACTGGAGGAAAATTGGCAACAATACAAGATTCTCGACCCACCGTCCTTCCGAGAATGGGACATGAATTTCCTGACCCCACTGACATCGCAGGCGCCAAGCCGCAGCGAAGGTGTGTCCAATGAGCAAAATCCCTCGACTGTTCAATACTTCAATGGTAGGGTTTCTGGAAGGTACGTGTAAAGACGACGTAGATCTCTGTTTTCGTATGACTTTATGACTTAGATCTCACAGGCATGGAGAAAACTCATCTTCACTCTGGTTTAGAAAGATGAACGACGTCTATTCCATTCTAGGCCCTGGTGAACAGTCTGATACCCAAACTCGGGTAGCAGTGCTGGATACTGGTATTACTCAGGAAGAAGCAAAGTTAAACGGGATTCAGGCCCATTCATATCGCGACTTCACTGGAGCTGAGGAAGTACAGATGAAGGATCAAACGGGACATGGCTCGGACATTGTCAAGCTAATTTACAGAATGTGCAACTCCACGGATGTTCTTGTGGCTCGAGTCTGGGAGAACGACTATGAAACCGAAGGTACCGCAAGTGCAGTTGTCCAAGTGAGTTCGAATCCAATCCAAATCGCCTGACACCAAAGCTTAAGTTACTATGTATCAAGGCAGTGAGCTGGGCTATTGAGAAAAACGCTGAGGTCATTTGTATGGCCTTTGGGTTCATAACAAAAGTCCCCGATCTTGAAAAAGCCTTTCGAGAGGCTATTCCCAAGGGCATACTTGTGTTTGCTGCAGCCTCCAATACTGGAAACAGTGCACGCATCACATACCCAGCCTCTTGGGACAGCCACGTGTTTTGTACATTTTCAACGAATGGCAACATCAAAAACTCTCATCATCTCAACCCAACAGGCCAGGATCAGAATAACTTTGCCATTCTAGGCGAGGATTTACAGCTCTCCGATGACACAAAAAACTCCAAGATCGTGTCGGGCACGTCTTACTCGACTGCGCTTGCCTGCGGTTTAGCATCTCTCTTGCTGAACTTCTCAAAACAGGTCAGAGACCCCGAAAGCAACAGGGAGCAAATTGCAGATGTTTTGAAGTACAAGGACAACTTGACCAAAGTACTTTGCAAGATATCAGAACTTGACGGGCATTATAAGTGCATTGTCCCGTGGAAGCTGCTGCCAAAGAACCTACAGGGACTACTTCCGTTGGAGGAAGGATCCGGATTAGACAAGAGCATAAGGGTTATGATAAGAACCACGGTGCGCGACAAATTGATCAAAACGCTCGGCTTGGCTGATGAGATTTGGCTTGACTAATGAGATTTGCCTTGGCCTATGAGGGCGCGAAATTTACACGATTCTTTAGCCTTTCATCTAACTTGACAACGTTGAATGAGTCTGGCATTAACATGCCATTATTACCAACGACAGGGTGTTTCCGATCAGTCAACGACGAGGAGCAACATTTCATCGTCATCTTCTGGAGTCTCAGGTCGTATTATATAGTAATTCTCCAGACCGTTCTTGGAGAGAAATGCCCTGACAGTTGCGTTGGCAGTGGCTTGAGTCTTGTCTAGCCCAAGTATTGTCCCCTTAGTGACAGTTTTCAAGCTAAGGCTTGAGTTAAACCAGCTGTCTGATATCTCAAGTAGCCGAACAGCCCAGATGAAGGCGTCATCATATTGAGCTGTGACTGATGTCTCGCTTGACTGAGAATACTCGGCCCCAATCTCCACCTTAAAAGCATCAACCACGTCGCTTGAATATGTTAGTAAGGCACACTGCAAGGAGTCTGGCCCGCATGAAACTCACAGGGACGGCTTTGAAACCCCTGATTTACCTTGAAAGTCTTTGTGTTCAAGTTTGGCGCCTTTTCCAATTTTGATTCCGGTAATCATGTAAAGCTTCCAATTGCCCAGTACCTTGTGCTGCTTGACGTATGCAGCAACTTGAGGTGCCCTGATGCAATCCTGAATCCAACTTGTCGGAGGCGCAATAGCCTGTGTCTCTAACTGATCGAACTCCCATGAATCAGTGCCTCCCACAGTCGATCCTATTTTCACCTCAGCTTGGGCACCTATCCCCACTCCGGCAAGCGCGGGAGCACCTGCGCTCGCACCGGCACTGCTCTCTAACTGTGCGTCACGAGACCAGGTGACATTGCTCTGTGTCGATCGTTGGACCCGAAAAGTTCGAGAAAAGCCAGGTAACTCATCCCTATTGATGACTTGATCCAGGCTTTTGATACCAGGAATGATGTGCCCCAGTAAAAGAGTGCCACAGGCTTCCCTATATGTCTCATCCATATAAATGGGCGGCTCATAATGGGTTTGGTCCAGGACGAACCAGTATTTCGTCATTCTCGAGTTGGCGCTCAAATGTGGCTTGGTATATAACAAAAGGGTCTTCTCGTCGAGTCCTTTGTTTAAGAACGAGGTGGATAATCGATCGCTCTAATAATAAAGGGCGATTGTAAAGGGTACCCGTCAGAAAGGGTAATGGTGTGAGAGATGTAAAATCAAGACATCAAGTGAGGCATGCCTCGACCAGATAGTTTATGCATTTATCAGACGGGCAAGGAGTCCTATTCGTTACGTTGATAGAGGCTCCCCGGTGGTTGAAGTCGCATTGTGGCTGCACCTTGAATCTGAAGTAGGTAGCACGTCAGGCTGCATACATGTAAGGTAAGCAGAAGACATCGCGATGTGACAGGTTAGGTTACGAAGGAGCCGGGTTGTGTCCCCACTTGACCACATTCCTGCAAGCCACTAGCATTTCCGTTTAGATTGCTGGACTGTGAAGCTGCTGCATTGCATGAATTCACCAACGATAGGTACTTTGCTGATGCGCAGTTGCCAAGCCTAAGTAGGTATGTACCCTCGTATACTTTCAGTAACATAACATGTGGCTTGGAATCATTACTTTCATACAAGTCGCTTAACCCGGCCGTGTTTGAAGGATAGCACGGGAGACTAACACAGTCCGCGATTGACAACCATGTGAGTTCCTGGAAACAAACCCCTTATCTACCTTTCCTTCAGCTGACTAATACAAGATGTGGAGGAATAAGAAATGTGACGAACAAGAAGACGGGCATGCTGAAGAAATTAGAAATGGTTCACGGAAATATCACATTATTACATGTACAAGACAACCCGAACCACTTGACGGGAAGATTATGAACTCAAGAAAGTTATATCAGCAACAGCTTAGAATCTCTTCCTCACTCAGTGGTCTTCTTGCGTATAGACGATAATTGTTCGACATCATCTATCGTAAGAGGCGGCAAGCATTAGTAAACCTCTGCGATAGACTCATACGAAAGTTGAATCGCCGTAGACTGTCTTCTGACACATACATGCAGTTGGTAGTCGTTGCCAAATCTATCTTTCAAGAGTTTCTGGAGTTTTCGCTTGTTGATAAACCGCCCGGATATCTCTTGTTTCCCATAACTGTGACTGTATGCTGACGATGAAGTCGCCGATGATGAAAAGCCAGTGTTTTGTCGAGTGGACGGTTGAGAGTAGTTGAAACTGTCATTCCGAGGATATGTCGGTTTGGGGGAGGTGGAAAACAAGCTGGTGAAATAGTTCATCATTGATGAGAGGTAGAACCGTTGGTTTGAGGAACCACTGGAATCGAATCTTGCTTGATATGCTTAGAAGTATCCTGAGGTTATTGAGAAAAGCATAATGAGGATGTTCCAAGGGCTTTAAGACGGCTGCAGGCCCTCTTGAAGTAATACGTACAAGCTGATTTCCCTGTCGGACACCTATACGTACTTGCATCAGACTGATATCTACTGAGCGAGTAATGTTGTCTTGCAAGGGAGAAGAAGACCTCTCATATTTCGTTTTCCCCCTTTCATCACGGGTAGATGCCGACCATCCCATCAAATTGCACCTTTAAAGTCCCAGCATCAATTGCATTCTTACTGAATGTTGCACTAACACACCCCTTTCGTTCGGCGGCTGAAGAGTGAAGTGCACCGTCCGCCAGCGCGGGGTATTGCTGATCGATGGTGACATCGTTCAGTATGCCTGGCTGTCCTTCTCCTTGCTATCGGGCAGAAACATGGCTTGGATGGTAGTGGTGTGGTGCAGCAGGCTGGGGGCTTGGCGGTTACGGTGTGGATGGTCCAGTATCATAAGCATGCACGCATTTCGGATATTCTCACCATAGAAGGCGAACGACTCCCCTGATGTAACCAATCCTTTCATAGACCAACCATAATCAAAGATCGATTCAATCCTTCTTTGTAAGGAGGCCTCGGTTTCTACGGCCGCCAATTTCGGGGCCTGCCTCGAGCTTCGAGTCACATCTGTCACGCTTGAATCTGCATATTGACGGGAAACTGCGACTGTCAGCTGCGCATGGCGGTGGCTATGGCAATGCCGCGCCAGAAACAGACAGCAATGGACATGTGAGCCTTGCGGCATTTTCACAACTCAAAAACACACTTGCGTCCAATTCTCTTGCGGATCATGACCACTACTTTGATCTACATATCCCCATCCATCCAATCCCGAACAAACCGGCATTATTTTCTCGACTACACAACTACACCGAACTACTTCCTCACAACATAACCTACCACATACATCTCTGCAAGCCTTGAACAGGTGGGTTGCTTCCTTACTGTATGCACTGTTTAGCTGTCAAGACGTTGCAATATGGCAGAGAAAGGCATGCGTGCTGCAGCCACGGCGTATTATCCACTGTTGTGCTTCCTGCGGCTGTCCCTGCCTATTACGGTTTAAGAAACAATCTTTCTGCACTTATCCAGTTTCGAAGTCATTCCAGGCCGCTAAGAAATACCTTACAGATTTCCGCAACGAGTCCGGTTCTTGAAAACCGAGCCTGCCTAATGCCACAGCCATCTAACGTCGGCGCCGCTAGGGACGAAATCGCCTGCATCCTCCTACGTGGTTCATGCCAAGATCTCAACGACAAACGCAATCGGTTCGTCCCACGAGGCAGTTTAGTGTCCCAACTCGACCACAAGAAGGTATCAACTTTGTTAGGCACACTTATTCCTTCCGACACCACTAAAGTCGCCGATATTGCACATTTCATTAGTCCCGGCAAGCACAAAGGATGTCTTTGTGACGATGCTTTGTGCACGGGACTGAGAATCATCTTCGCGACATTATTCATACTAGGCAAACCGGAAGTAATATTGGATATTTACCAATCTCCGGTTCATATCTGTGATGGAGCATGGCCATGCAGCGACCCGACCTTGCCAACCTACTCCTCTCGTGCTGCTGAGGCCCTTCGGGAAGTCTTGCAAGCCCTAGATGCACGTAATGAGGAGCTATTTCACCAGCTGCAATGGCAAATGAGGTCTCCATATTTCAGTATATCGGGTACAAATACTAGCAAGCAGCCTTACCGTCTGTTGCATGATGAAATCACATTGCCGTGGTCAGAGCTCAATATGCAGGGGGAAATACTCGATGGGCAAGTCTCATTTGTGCAAAAAATCAGCATTCACCGAGATCATCACGACTTTTTAGACGCAAGTTTGCAGATCGAACGGATCACCACTTAGGCCATATTTACTAATGACTTTTCGTATCTTAGCATGCCAAAATACCCGTGGAGCATTTTGCTTTGAAGATCACCGATAAGGAGCATACGACCAAGGCTGCCGAGACTTCTTTCATGGACGAGATTGCTGCCAATCAAAGAACAACCCATCCTCGTATAACACCACTGCTTTCTGCCTTCAAACATCGAAATCGATATTATCTCCTATTCCCCTGGGCTGACGGCGACAGTCTCTACGACCTGTGGAAAAAGCATGGCTCACATCATATTTCTACTGAGCATTGTCCGCCTTGGTACTCAGTTCGGTGGATGATAGACCAATGCTACTACATAGCCGACGCCTTAGCCACGGTTCATGGCTATGATTCTTGTGAAGGGGGGTACTCTTCCGAGGCCCAGCTTCATCTCGACATCAAGCCGGAGAACGTTGTCTGCTTCCAAAAGTCCCACGACGGCAAAGTCTCATACGACTTGAAGCTAACGGACTTTGGTCTCTCTAAATCTTTCAATCGGAGTTCTCCGTCACGTCCGAGACAGAAGGTGGAGACAAAGACGTATCGGCCGCCCGAGCGAGACACGGATCTTAGGAAGTCTGTGGTGGATGAACCTTTCGACATATGGTGTTTGGGATGCCTGTTTCTCGACTTTATCACCTGGGCCATCGAGGGGTGGGGCGCAGTTGAGAGCTTCCGCGAAAGCCGCCTTTTAGAGACCGATGAGGACGACGTCGACCCAGAATTTCCCCCGGTACTGGAAGATACTTTCTTCAAAAAGAGGGTGCAACAAGGGACATGGTGGTGGCCACGAAGAATTTCTCGGACCATTGTTGCAGATCTGAAGCCCTCAGTAGTTTCGGTGAGTATTGCAACCATCAAATGACCCACGATTCTGGCCAATTCATGATGCTGATTGAAATCTGTGTCAGCAATTCCAGTATCTCCGCGACCATGCACGATGCACCGAGGAATTGAGGAGATTCCTCAGTCTCGTCCAGTCCAGAATGCTGCTCGTTGACGGCAGTACACGAGCAGCGTCGAATGAGGTTCGAGATGTCCTGCAGGTGTGGAAGCAGAGCTTCATAGAGCAAAGAGCCGAGGCACAAAACCTCAATCCGACTAGTCAGCGGTTGCATGGGCAAACGAATTCAGGCCTTTGCTAGTGGCTCTGGAAGTATGCAGATGAGTTGTATCTGGCCGGCGCATGCAGCACTCCAACATTGGGGTACGTGGAATTGGGCATTGACGTGGCGTCTGCGGATTGGGAATCATCACTTCACCCCTAGACACCATAAGTCTGGACCTGTACATGAAAGTGTCGCTTGTTTGTTACGTTTTTTTTTCCTTTTTTTCGGAACGATGGTCCTTGGCGAAGAAGCGCAATTGTTCCGACCAGATTTCCCTTGCGGTCGATTGAAAACGTTTAGTCGAATGTTCGCATTCCACGTTGGTCTATCTAGATGGTTGTGATCCTTATCTCGTCCAACGCGGACTTCAGTTCCTGAGCAGGTGCCATCAGCATTGCAGACGCCCGCATGGGCCTTATGTACACGCATCGTTGATATAACCACCCAGGTGTTTCATGTCGACGCCATACCAAAGCTAATAGACCAGCGCTCAAGATCAGACTCCACCAGTGAAAGTGCCAATACATATGTTACTCTTCTTCAGAATCCGAGTCTTTGGCCGCTTTCTTAAGATCGGCAACGGTTTTCTCCATCTCCTCCTGGTAGTTAACATTGGTTAGACGGTACGAGAAGTTCATAAACGTGTTTCATCCCACCAACATATATCGAGACTCACCGGTTTCAGTTTTCTAGGAAGTTGGACCTCGAGTAATTCGGCTTTTGTTGCCTGATCCGTTCATCAATTAGGGGATGCACTATGTAGAAGTGAATGGGCTGGTACGTTCGACAATGGCCTACCTTGATCTTGATCGTATCCTTGGAAAAGCCAAAGCCCAAGAGTGTCTTCTGTAACACCTTCGTGTTCGCATATCGACTGACAATTCTATCAGTCGCGACGAACTCGCTGGTTGTAGCCATTTTTTGTCGATTGCTGAAACCCGGGATGTAGCTCTTGAGCCTCGATGCCCAAGATCGGATAGTTGTGTCATCCATGTGAAGCAACAGCGGGGCTATTCGGAATTCAAATACAACTTGTTTGATGGAGAGATGAATTGTCTAGTGAAGCCTTCACGAGTTATAGCATGAAGAAGTCCACACTTCCCATTTTCGCCCTTTGGTCAGCAGAGCCAAGTCCCATCCAGGCTCCAGTCAGGCAAAGTGCTGTTTTTGATTCTGCGAACCAATTGAGTAGACTTCGGTGTCAGCCTGACAAGTGAGTGGCTGAGATTGCGAGGCATTTTCGGGCGCAAAAACGCCTGGAGCCGCAGTCAGACAAAGAGCTTATCATCGCCTGTGCTTTCGCTGATGCAAGCGGATGGTGTCGGCATGGGGCCGTCGGGTAATGCCACATCATACGGTACTTGGAGTCCACATCCATTACCTCCCAACATTTGCGCTAAATCGGCAGGCTGCCTGCAATCGCATAACAGAGGCGCAGAGCACCCACGGACACCAGACTCTTTTGCTGGCGTTGCCTATTCTTGCAGAGCACAGCCAAGATCAACACGTTATGTTGTTTCTAAGAGGTCTTGTGGGCTGCAAGTCTGCGAAAATGTCATTCGGATTGGTTTGGTTGAATGCGTCTGCAGTCAGCATGGTGCAGATACATATGTGCATTTTGTTATCACACAGTCAAAGGCGGGGTCGCAGCCCATGGAACTTCCTTTCAGACAAGTCCAGACGGTTTGGGATCCATTCCGGACTCCTCTCTATAGTTGGCAGACCGTGCCGGAGGTTACATGTATAAGCCATGGCAAGTGCCCAACAATAAACATTTGCCTGGTAAAATGAGAGGCTGAAGTTGCGTGTCTGCCACATTCACGATGGAGTGGTTGAGCCGAAGATTGGACTTCGTCAAAAGCGACTTGAAACGTTTTGACTTTTCTTCGCAAGGATCTTCAAAGATACGAACTTTGCGATTGGGAGAGACTAATCGAAATGTGAGTTCTCATCTCGTCTCCTCTGGCTAGCTAGGGCTTAGTCTTACCGCGAACGAAAGCATATCGTGACGCCAGATATCTCCGATTTCACAACGGAAGATGAAATCCTCGAATGGCTAGAATCGGTGGGTTCTCATGCAAATGATTTTTTGGGCTCCCTCCCCAAATCCACTTGCTGAATACGTTTGCTGCAGGAAAAGTCGACTCTAGAGCTTCCTGGCTTGGTGCTTGTGATGCATCAGAGACTAGTTGCCACCGATCTGCAAGGAGTCAAGGCGCTTCCTTATAGAGAAAGTACTTTCGCAAAGCTGGCTGAACGACTGCACCAGCATCATTCGCTCTCGTTTCTTCTTAGGAGAGCTTCTACTGCCATTGTCAACTTCAGACCTGTCACATGGGAGATTCATGGAGCAAATTCGCCATCCCTAGGTAAGGATTCTAGGAAAGTTCTTTCTGAGTGCTATTTGAACTAGAAGTACATCAATGACTCGTTATTGTGGTGTTTTAAGCGATCTGACAAAATGCGTATCCCAGTATATAACTGCAAGTCTGACACCGAATCCCCGCCGAGCGTGAATTACCCAGACGATGTTGCATTATCAGTCACTTCGTTTCCAAACCTTGGCACAACGCATGCAGTCATGTACGGATGTACACAACCCATCATCAAGTCAACTACCAGATACCTGAAGGACTTTGGGGGACAAGCCATTCATCCTCTTGTCATGCCCATGATATTCGCCGAGATAGAACGCGCCCGTCTGTTCGATTTGCTCGATAAAGAGAGAACCACGCTCGAGCAGCGCATTCTGGATCTGGAAACTAAACTTCGAGGCGAAGCTCAGAGTCCTACCTCCGAGAAGGCAGACCCTGAGCCCTTGTTGCGAATGAGAGATTGCGAGTCGACGAAACTTTGGATGGATGTCAACCGGCTGAAGAATGGGCTCCAAAGTCTCAGAATCCAGCTGCAAAACATGATAGAACATTCAGAAAATCTAGCCATGACGTACTTCAAGCCTCCTGTTGAAGGTAAAGATGGCATTGATAAATATGTCGAAGAGCGGAGAACAGGAAACAGGATTGAGATGAGACTACGCGAAATGGTTGATGAGTTCGGTAGCAAGATTCGAACCTGCGAAGGCCTACTTGGCGGCATGTCATTATCTGCTCAAATGGTGAGAGAAACTAAACCTAGCCTGTTAATCCACAAACATCAGATGAACTGACTGACGCTAATGAGCAGGAATCAAATTACTACACAAGACGCGATGCCAAAGTATCCATCATTATCGCGAACGCTACGAAGAGAGATGGCAGCCAGATGAGAAGCATCTCGCTGCTAGGGATGATATTCCTGCCTGGGACCTTCCTTGCCGTAAGTTCAGACCTTTCGCATCCTAGTTATATGTGTGAACGGTTGTTCAAAACAAAGCAAGCTAATACTCAATAAGTCGCTTTTCTCAATGTCTTTCTTCAATTGGACCCCTCCAGATGGTGATCAAATCATCTCGCCGTGGATAGCCCTTTATGGCGTTCTTGCTGTCGTGATCACGTTGGTCACTGTCTGGAGGATGAGAAAGTGGATGGAGGCAGAAGAGAAGAAGGCCAAAGAACAAATGATGAGGGAGGTTAACAGCGATGGCGACTCTATTGTATGAATATTGTTCTAGTACTCGTAGCGGACTTTGGAGATATCATGATGCCCTGAATGACCTTTGCACAACAGAACGAGTGCGAGTGCCTAGAGTGGAGGGCCCGGATCAAAGGGGAGCTCGTTCCAGACTATCCCGTGATAAAGCCTTCAGTATTTGAGCAGGAATAGATGACCATTTCCTCAAATCTCATGAAATAACAAGCCCGTCGCGCGATGGTTGCCATACGTTACGCAATCGATAGAGGTTTGCTCGCTGAAGTCATTCCCGTTCCGCAATAAGCGACCGGGGACATGCTTTCCCCGCATCACCCCGCCTCCGCATTACCAACCGTCAACCGATCGACACCATACAAACTTAGTCATGAACGTGGAGATGTCCAGACCTGTTCGTCCATCCTCCTTCATGATTCGTGCAAAATCCACCCGGTCGAACGGCAACGATGTAACTCCAATGCTGGCCCAAGAGATCCGGCGCGAGAGTTCATTGCGACCGAGTAAATACGACGCTGATGTCGCGGAGACTCGGCCGGGAAAAGCCCGATTTGACGATGCTAGGAAACTATTCAATGCTGGGGCGCCGTCGCGGTTCGCCGGTGTGAGGTAGCGCTAGGGTCTAGTCTTCTGCTTTTAAGCTGATGTTCTGAGCCAATCCTGTTGTTCATCGCTTTTCCACCCGTCAGCCATTGGATCCCTTGTTCTTAGCTCAAAGGACCCGTTCCACGTTGTTTGAACATGCGCCGTACTTGGGCTATTGGCGTGCTTTGCACTCTACATGCTTCAGCCTCCAAGGTCTTTGCCCAGGAGACTGAAGACGCCGCTGGACGCAAGACTTGTGTTGTCAAGGCCAGCGGAACCAACACGACCGACGACGCGCCTGCTATACTCGAGGCATTCACGCAGTGCGGCCGGCGCGGCAAGGTCGTGTTCGAGCCAACGACATACTACGTCAACTCCGCTTTGAATGTCACTTGGCTGGACGACGTCGAGATTGATCTTCAGGGAACTCTGCTGGTACGTTACCGTTCCACGGCAGGCTTCTTGCCCCCCTTTCCGATCTTGGTTCAATTTGAGTGATGCGCCAAGCCAAACAATACCAAGACTTTCGTTTTATGGCGATCAGCTAACGTGAGACTACCGGCTGTTAGTGGAGTACGAACATCTCGTACTGGCTTGCCAACTCGCTGGACGTGGGGTATCAGAATCAGTCCACTGCATTCATCCTCGGCGGCAACAATGTTCGTCTCAACGGCCATGGGCAAGGCACTTTTGATGGTAACGGCGACTACTGGTATGAGTGGATCAGACAGCAGGCCAACACTTCCAACTACCCTGGTCGTCCGCATGCTCTCACTCTCAACGGGTTGAGAAACTCTGTTGTGAAGGGAGTAAACTTCTTGAGAAGTCAGATGTGGTAAGTACATGTTCCCGCACCTTAGTATAAGATAGAACGTCACTCATTCTGGCAGGACCTTGTCCATCATCTACTCTCACAACGTTGTCCTCGATAGCATCTTGGTCAACAACACCGGAAACCGATTCCAAAGCTGTACGTCCAGGACAACTTGCTTTGAACTCTGCCTTTGGCAAGACAATGAGTCTCGCTGACTTCGCATAGCGAACACGGACGGAGCCGACACGATCCGGTCCTCCGGCATCAAGTTCAATAACTGGACTGTCTACAGCGGCGACGATAGCATCTCTCTCAAGGCAAACAGCACTGATGTCAGCATTACAAACTCCAAGTTCTACAATGGCTTAGGCATTGCGCTTGGTAGCATTGGACAATACAACGACCAGTTTGAGACCATCGAGAGGCTGAAAGTCGAGAATTGCTTCTTTGACAACACGTTGCATGCCGTTAGTCCTCCTCGCCCTTCTCTTTCAAATCTATGAGAGCCCGTCAGTGCTAACGATGTCCTCAGGTCTACTTCAAAACTTGGACGGATGATCAGAACGGCTACCCTCCCAATGGCGGCGGCGGCGGGCTTGGTTGTAAGTCTGAAGCTGTGAACACGCAGTAACACTCCTGGTGGGGATTTCTCTAACGACCTTGACTCTGCAGTTGCGTCGGATATGTCTTTCAAGAACCTCACTGTTCAGGGCATGCGCGGTGCTGCATTTGCAATCTCCCAGTGCACCCGTTTCCGCGGCGCACCTGGAGTGGGCAACTGCACCAACTCGCAATTCCAGATTCGTGACATCACCCTCAATGGCATGGTCGGCACGACCAAGTCATCCCGCGTTGCCAGTCTCCAATGCAGTGCTGTTGCACCCTGCACCAACATCGGTCTCTTCGATGTCGACCTGGAGTTTGCCAACGGGACTGCTGCCACTTCATACCTTTGCGGAAATGCTGTGAGCCCGCAGGGCTTCAACTGTACTGGGGCTCCATGTGTTGGAGGAAGCGCAACGGGTGAATGTTGAGCGAGGATTTCCGAGACTCATGATCATTGAGGGCAGGTGATGTTCTGGTCGATATTATGTGTCAGAGCCGACGTGTTGTTCCGGCGGTTCCGGAGAAGCCGAGGTTGGGTGCTAAAGCCTTGCGCAACAATGCCTCATTCGAATGGCAACTGCGGGTACAGGAATGCAAAATCTTTGATCGATTGGGTCGTTTGTTTTCTTTCAGTGGCCAGAATTTGCCTTCTTCATTCGACCATCAAGCTTCGTGACATCCGAATGCGAGACAAATAAACAAGCAATCAATTTGTATCGGCTTGCCTCTGTTCGTTACGAGCTATTCACTTTGATGTCCAACTTCCTCAACGGGTTGTTCGGAAACTGTCCGTAGACGTTCCTGCTTGGGCGCGAAAGCGGGAACCATTCGCAGTGTCGGTGAAGCTTCATGGCAAGTTGTTTAGCGACTACTCTATCCGTATGCTCAAATGAAATGACTCGTGTGAGACCGTGGCGTCTCGGCCCGTAACTATCGCGAGCTTTGATCAGCTCACTGATCCTCACCAAGCAGATGTTCCGTGTTGTGGTCTGGAAACAGAGTTTCAATTTACAAAGCTTGGCACACTGCGTATGTCGAAATAAGCGCATCATAGCCCACAACTGCCCGAAACTCTGACTCAAGCGTCTACCTATAGTTAAAGTAGACTTTGGGACCGTTTGTCTGCTCGACACAGGGGACCTGGGTTGATGAAAGGACGCCCATGTCTGCGGAACGCGGAGCTGCGAACCTAGAGTCGTAGGGCTGGTTGCTGAGCAAAGGTAATTCAAGGCTTATGGGAGTACGCAATCTCATCAGACTAGATCTTGACGCTAGGCAAGTTGTGGTTTCTAAAGCCGGATCCCACATCCCGCGACGTCTTGTCTTGACTCCTGTAGATGAACTCGTATTGCAAGAGACATGGACTGAGTGAGATGGGGTTCTTCAATCTAGAACGATTGAGAGATTTGTTTCCGAGGTGTCAGTTTCCGCCGCAGTAAGGTCAGGGTATCTCTTCACTTTCTGAGGGTCGAGTGGCCAGGGAACATGGGTGCGCATATTGTAGTAATTATATGGCTTATTCAAACACTCTGAAAGGGTCTTAACCGTGCGCGTGTTTTCTGTATGAAAAGACTGTAGAGCTTTTGTATCGTTGCATTCCCGATCTTGCTTATCACCCATCCGAATTGTCTACCCTTCCACCTTCTTACTTTCCTTTAGACCAAGTGACCAACGCGACCGGACGAGATACATCTGGTTTGAGGGCTGCCGATCAATGGAAAAAGGAGATTTCCATCAATGAGTTGCAGGCTCCACAACATCCATCGCATCCAGAAGGGGGCTTGGCGCGATGCCAAGACACGGGATATGTTGAATGTTGTTTCTTCGCGGGCAAGTTGAGCCAATCTGCTCTCAAAGACTCTCAACGGTGTGGTGAGACTTGGCAAGGGGTTGCAGTGCCAAGAGCCTCAAATGGCCTTAGTGTCGACGCGCTTTGCTTGACTCGAAGCTCTTGGCATCGTCCGTCCAATTTCCATCATTATTTTTTCCATCGCAAATGCCCCTCTTCTCAATGTTCTGGCCGCACCTTTGTTCAATCTTGTGACACTTGACGGAGAAAAGCCCCGGATTCATACTGCAGTACCGGAGTACGTTCTAAGATCTACCGAGACAAATGCCTGCCCCAGTTGTCAGTGTCAGTGGTCACGGTTCACCAGTAATACTAACCCCGGCTCCATGTCTGCGGGATTAGTCACGGTAATCGAAGTGATGCGCGCTCTTTTTTCCCCTAAACGCCAGTGGCCCTGCATGTGCGCAAGTAAGCTACTGTTTAGGCTTAAATTCTCAGCTGCAGGTTGGGGATATTCTGCTCGCCTCTTTGATCCGAATGTCACTCCAACCGCGATGATATCAGATAACCTCAGATAACCGTAAGGATTTTACTCGCCTACCTGCCGCTTCTGATAGTGTCTACCACACACTGGGAAGCGTTTCCTCATGGGGAACGTTGCCGGCTTACACCACCCTTCCGGCCCCTTCCTTTGGGCGATGCGCCGTGTTGCGTGATTCTCTCCCATCTCGAATCTGTCTCTATGTCTCTAGAAGCGTACTCAAAGGTGACTAGCACAAGAAAGGCACCCCGGTTTTGGCCCTCTTAGCAGTGGTTCGGGCGTGGGGCTCGGAGTATCCATCGGAAGGGCCTAGATGCCCGAGTTGGAGAAACAAGCCACCGGGGCGCCGTCTCTCTGCGCCCACATTCTTAACCACTGACTTCCTAGAGAAGAGACAACCATCGCCTACGTTTCCTAGCCAGGAAGTAGCTCTTGCCTTCTCCACCCCCGATGAGACTCACACGTATGTAAAAGGGGGCTGTGCTTGAAGACATCCCCCTTACCTGCCCGTATTGAGTAGATTATCTGCCAAGTCCTACCAGGCCAGCAAGTGCGTACAAGATGTACTCTCATTGGCTTCATCAGGCTGTTTGTCGTCGGGGTCCGCAAGCCACGAGGCCAGTCACCACAGACCACTATCGCCCCCAATAGGCCCAAGACCTTTGATGTCCCAAGTTGTCTAAGAGAGAACAGATGAAGTTAGGCACGGCCGTAGTGCCTCCACCCACAATAGACTATCTGGAGCCTTTGACTACCGGGACCAGGTTAACGGCTCTCATCCCACAACGTGCCAATTGGTGGGTTATGGGCATCGGTACATGAGAAGCATGGATGCTTGGGTG